AGTATATTGAAAAAAGTTTGGTAATAATCAAGTCTAAATGATAACTACTAAAATAATTATTTAACTTTGAAATAATTTCATTCAAATGTTAATGTAACTAAAACCAATTTTTACTATTACTGTTACGTTTTTTGATTACTGTTATTATGTTTGATAATATTTATCAAATGTGATACTAATGTGCTGAATAAAATATATTTGATAATTTTTTACCAGTCTTTCTTTAAAGATAGAGATTTCTTTATAAATAGTGATCTGATCTCGCTTTTGTAGAACTTCAGAAAATGAATTAATCTTTAATTAATGTTCTCAATTTGAGCATTTCTTTCTAATCCTTAACAAAATGAATTAGATTATACTGAAAATAAATCTCTTTGTTTCAGTGTGATAATGTCCTCTGACGACCAATCATCTCCAGCACAGACATCGATATCCACAACGAGTTTCGATGTACTGGACAACGCAAGATTGGAGAAGATTAATATAACTCCCATAATATCACAACCAACAAAACCCGTGGTTTCACCAACCATGAATAGCGATGCCGATGCGATAGAGGAAGCAGTATCAATTGTGCAGACGACGTTACCCATGCCGGAATTACAACCGAAAATCGAAAAGAATGGTATCGAGATGAAGACAAAAAAATCTTCTGACGAGCCAAATGATGACTGTCTGATCAATTGCATTTATTATACACAACAATGTTGCGACTGCACGATAGTTTGAGATCATTCAACGTTTCTAGCTAGATAATGCCGAAGAAACAGCGTCTCGCGAATACTCTGATCAATGTTGGGGTTTCAAGATGCCGCTCTTCGACGCAAAATTTAGGATCTGACATTGCAATAAGTATGGCGCGCCACTAGAATACTTTGTGATACACATGAAAAGTATATAATAGAAAAAAATTCTATGGGGTATGACGTGTAGAAAATTTTGTGAATATGTATGAATGAATGTGTGATGTTCATAATTATATACATACAATTTTTGATACTGTCGTTATTTCAATCAAGCAATGACAGTATGATTAAAGATGATTAATAAGAAACGCATGAGTAACTAATTAATTTATATTTTTAGAATATATTTCTTTGTATGCAAAGAAAGTTGTACTTTATGCAAATATTCACTGCCATTACGTGGTTAAAAATTGCATCGAAAGACAATCGCAAGTCAATTATTAGTCTGTAAGCATTTCCCTTGAAATATGTTATAAGCAAGTTATTTGCTATACCATTACATGTCTTCCTAACACTCTGACATTAATGTTAATGTCAATGATGCGCACAGTATTAATTGTGACAGTCGTTTAGACATTTATATTTGTTTGCATTTTGTAAATTTACGAGCTGAGAAAACAGATCTGTAGTGATGTGGGACAGGTAGATCTATTTGGAAACGAAAGTAACATAAATAATATCAAATTTCTGACATTGATATAAGGATGCATTTATTACAAACGAAGAATAACCCAAAAAGTTCTTATTTTCTTTTAATGTATCAGAGCAGCTAAAAATAGTAGACAGTATTTCCATAACGCAGCTGATGATTAAATCGAATTTTATTTTACAATCTCTCTCTGTCTTTGTATATTTATTTAATCTAACTATATATTACCTGATAATATATAATAGTATATTACGTTTTCTCAAAAGATTATTATACATGGATAAAATTATTAAAAACATAGCTTGCAGATTAAATATTTTAACTTAGTGTTTTTTATGTTCTACAATATCATGATATGAATCGATTTAATCACTATCGCGCCGTTTTATAATGATACAGGAATTGTATAAGATTGCCAAAAATTTCATATAAATATTTATATAAATATAAATATTATATAAGTATTTATATTTTGATATAATAATCGGAGACTGCAAGTATAGTGTGTAATTTATTTAAATTTATTCATAGAGGACTAGATTAGTTTTGTAATGTTACAACGTATGAATTTAATGTGAAAGTAATACTAAGTAATAATATTCATTTTTTGAATATGTATGAATACATATCTCCTAAAAATGACGTTCTAGACAACTAAAGTTTTCAAAAGTTAAATTTTGAAAAATAGGTAAGTACAAGGGCTAAAAAATTTTTTATATTAAAAAAATCAAGTTACATATTCTCATAAAAGTGATAATTGAAAATCTAAAATATTAATAATATCTATTCAACATTATAGGCAGGTTCGATACTTTGGTAGGCGCAGCTAATGTTGCATATTTGTTTATTACTTGAAATCGTATTTTGTCAATGATAAAGCAAGTTAATCTGCAATTATTTATAATCTTCAGAATTGAAAACGATGAAAAAATTTTATCGTTAATTTTCATCGTTTTATTTTTCTTCTAAACTAAACTAACTTTTTTCGCCCTAATTTTACTATTCATAATTATCACATAATGGCAATCTATAAAATAAGGAAATGAATAAAAAACATTTTCCTTTTGCGTATATATATATCAGATAAATAGAATAAAAATTAAGAAGGAATTTTACGTGACCTTAGAATAGCAGAATTGACTGTACTATTTTACTCTACGAGTGATTTTTTTCTAGAAGAGAATTCAATTAATGGAAGAAACGTAAGTGTTCGGAAAGTTTCATTAAAGAAACATTATGACAGATAGATATTCAAAAAATAATTTCATAAAATAAGTGCGAAAAATTGAGAACTCGCTAGCTTAGTTTTGCTTCTATTGCGTTACGATTCGTATAGAGGTAACGGATGACCCTCAGAATTAAATACCCATCTATCCAAATCTATCAATTGCCTAGTGTCATCAAATAACAAATACAAATATTTTAAAGTTTCGGCAAACCAGAAACTTTCCGTCATATCCTGCTGACGAGTGTGTTGAATATTCCGGACATTACCAATACTCGTGTAGCCACTTTCGACTTTGGTATAATTCTCGAAAGCCTGCCGAGACACGTTTTACATTACATAAATATAATAAAATTCCAAGAGGTCAATACGCACCTGAAATATCTGCCAGCCCCAATCTTGATAAGTTTTATTCCCCGTAAAATACCACATGTAAAATAGACTCTCAACAAATTCGGGCCTTAATAAATTATGAGCGTCATTCGTTTTTACGTACATATCCATTTGATTTTCACCCTCCATTTTCTACAGAAAATAATATATAAAACAATGATTATGAAACTTTTTTCTCTGATGCTGTTACTGCAGAATCAATTTTTTGTCCTTTATTGACAATTAATTTTTCGAACTTACTTGTATATTAAAATAAGTAATCTCAGGTGCAAGGAACGTTGGCTGGATTGCATACGTATGATAACAGGTTTTAACAAGTTCTTCTGCAAGAATATTATGCTCCGATGGCAATCCATGATGCACACCTAATGCTAAAGTACCTCCTAAGTAGCATGTGAGATGATCCTATAATATAGTTGCACATTTGCAAATTTGCGCAATATTCTAATTTTAAGCGCCCCTTAGACGATCAATATTGTTATACAATATTATTAATAATATGGATTACATATTGAACTTTTAAACTTTGTTTTGAATTGTTTTTAAAATTATTTTTATCAAAAATATTGTACAAAATGAAATGCAGAATAATACTGAATGTCTAGGGACTGCTTTCGATTATTTTGTATTTAAGCTATTTACCATTTTCGGTTTAATTTCTTTATTCGCGCCGACTAATTCAGCGATGAATAGATATTTATTGATTGCAGTATGTTTAACGAGATGTTTTTGCGTTCCAGCAATACCGTACAAGTAATCGTCGCGAAGGCTAAAAATATCAATACAAGCCTTAAATATTAAATATAAGTAAAGGACTTATTTTATACGATTATAACTTCAGTAATGAAATATACTGACTAGTCTATGGTTTTTCCAGTTTGTAACCATTGTTTCAATAAGTATTCATAGTAACTATCACCGCGAGCACCTAACGTAATCGTAGCGTATTCTCGAAATTGTCCGGTATTAGCGTTAATAAAAATTGGGACTAAACCATCATATTTTTCTAATTTATGTACATGTTCGGAAACTCTTGCCGCTGCAGTCTGGAAAGATCAAATAATAAATATCCGTTGCAAATTGCTTCAAAAGTCTCGCTTCTAAAATTACCTCAAACTTAAGTTGACCTGTACTACGACTAAGATCACGAAACTCTAATTGAATGGAAGTAACTTCACTCGTGCTACTGTCGGGACCCCATTTAGGACTATGTGCACTTCTTGTACCAAGATTCACATCAGAATGTGGAACACCTGATCTGGTAGAAAATGCTGGCATCATGCGATCACCTAAATCCGCCTTGAGCATTATGGATAAATTAATATTTATATTTGAATTCTATAGGACTTTAATCGAAACTGAAGTTATTTGGACTAATACTTACAGCCTTATTTAAAAAGAGTATATCACCAGAGAGATGATATGCTGATAGTAAACCACCTAATACCCTAATAGTAACTTCAAATAAATTAACATCTCTATTCATTGTAAACACTAAATTCTCTTCCACCCATTTCCTTGCTCTTGAATATTCTAAAACATTTAAATGCTGAAGTATAATAAATTCTATTCTCTAAAATATTATATAAAAAAATTCTTTCATATTTCTTTTTCGCTAATAATGAATATCAATGCTTTTAAGGTTTAATTTATATATATATATATATATATACACACACACCATCATATAATCCCATTATATATATAGTATCCAATGAATCAACTATAGTAAGGCCTAAACCAAACCATTCGTGATATCTTTTTGATATCGGTTTGACATTATCGTGACCCCATGCATATTTTTTATATCCATTCCAAGAATGTTTAAATGCAGCTACGACAGCTTCTTGCTTGTAATTTTGAGGACCTAAAAGTCCAAACATTGTTATCTGTGTCTATTTTGCAATCTAATTTAATTATATCATATCATTTCATGAATTATGATCTACCATTAAATTTCAGGATGTTTGGTTTTGGCTGTGGTGGTTCACCAATTTGATCATCATCAACTTGATTAATTTCTGGTTGAAACTCGGGTTCTTCAATTACTTCACCAGGTCCAGCAGCCTGTTCTTCATTATCTACAACAACTTCATCTACTGCCTGTGAAATAAAAGGGAATTTGATATTTTTGTATACAGATTCAAGAGCTCTCTTTGAGATATTGCGTACCTTCTCGTACTTGGCAGTTTCTTGTACAACTTCTACATTACTATAATCTACCTCATTGTTAGAGGTACTAGCTTTGGTTTCGCTAGGCAGGAGATAAAATATTACAAGTAGAACTGTGATTATTGCAAAGTACAGAATATTTCTTTGAAACCTGGACAATTGGTTCCATTGCTGAAAGAGAGACAAGTAGTTGAATAAAAAAGATAACTGTATGACAATCCCAGTCGTGCAGACTCAAAATAACAATACGTTCGCATTATTTTTCATCAAATATATACGTACCCTCCATAAACTGCGAGAAGTACCCCGTGCAAATGACCCGCTTTCGTGAATATTCAAACTAATGTAATCTGATTTACCCGAGTCTCTTGGCGAGAACATATTTCTATGCAGGTTAACTTGTTCCGGCACGTAAGGGAATTGATTGTATTGCCAGAACACGTAAAATATAACACTGTGACAAATTAGCCCAACATGCGGAGGTCCTCATTTATGCGAGTATACATCAACGCATTTTTACATTTTCATTAAATTCATATTATTATTGCTTTGTTAACGTGTACCCTGCACATGAAGTAGATGGCGTTCACGTGTTCTCTCTCTCTCTCTCTCTCATGTTGTGTTTGTGTATGTATTGTGTATCATTCAGGACTGTGTAAAAAGTGAGAGTGCAC